TCAGCTTCACCTCTTTTCACCTCTAAAGAAATTATATCATTTTGCCAAACTGGACTATTTCCTTAAACTTTAATCAGTTGTAAAAAACTTAATCAGTTATCATATCTGTGATTGTAATTTGATGCCTGGAGTAAAATGCAATTCACAAATGAGCTATTTGACCAGGAATTCTCATTCCTAAGGTCCCCACTTGACTCCTTGAACTTACTACTCTCTGTGTTCTCCCTGAGCATCTAATCCACCCCTAATGGCGTTACTTCCCAATCTTTGTCAAAGATGTGGCTCTGATTACCTCCCCAGCTGCAGACTTACAGTTCCTGACTTTTCATACATAACATTTCCTTAAAAATGTCCTCCTGGTGCCTAAAACTCAGCATACCCAAGACAATTCAATATTTTCTAGAGGCATTTCCACTCCTTTCCCAACTGGAGAGTCATCTAATCAATACTCATTCCTGAAATCCAGAAACCTGTTGACATAAAGTACGTTGATATCAAGTCCAGGTGTCTTTCTGTATTCATTCCTTTGTATTTCTAGTGAGTATTCTATTTTTCTCGTTACGTCTAAACTAAAATCTTGCAGCTGATGCCTGACCTCCATCCTCTTCCCAACCCATTCTCTCCACTGCTATCAGTATTATTCTTCTAAAATATAGATTAGGAAAAAAAAAGAAAAAAAAGAAAATATAGATTAGATTATATCACTTTTACCCAGGAAACTTGATGACTTTATTGTCTATAGCAGTGCTATATATACTGTAAACTACATAATGTAATCTTAAATTTTGTAGTACCCACATTTAAAAGAGTAAAAATGAAACAGATGCAGTTAATTTCAATTAATATATTTTATTTAACCCACAATATCTAAAACATTTCAATCTATTCAGTATAAAACTATCACTAAAGTATTTTATAGTTTTTTTGTACTACATTTTTGGAATCCAGTGTTATTTTACATTTAACAGCACATCTCAATTCAAACTAGCCACATTTCAAACTCAGTAGCCACATGTGTCTAATAGCTCCCATATCAGTTCAAGTCTATAGCGTAAAGTTTAAAGTTCTTGGATCACAACTCTGAGCCCACAACTTCAGCTCCTGCCCTGCATTTTTCAACTTAACTTCTCAGCACCCAAACCCCAGCCACACCTAATTGTCTACCATTCTTTTCCTGTTATTACTTTCCTTTGACTGTGGAAGTGACTTACCTTCCAGGGCCTAATCTGAATGTTATGTCCTAAGCGAAGGCTTGCTCCATTCCCACAGGGCACCGTGAGCATTAACCATTTGTTCTTGACCCTCCTATAGCAGCATTTATGGGAGCTGTGTGTCTAGTTCCTGTGTGAGTAGTTGCTGCCCACTAAGAATGTGAGCTGCTTTCTCATAGGTAGGATGTGTCTCCCTCAGCCCCGTTTCTAGTATTTACTGTGGTCTCCCTTTGCTCTTAGGTGTGTTCTTATTTGCTGTTTCTTATCTTTGGGATCTTAAGCAATCTCTCCTTTAACAGTTGTTTTCGTTACCTTTGAAATGTATTCTAAGTGAAATTTCTCTTTATATCTGGATTAATTCCACTGTTTAAAAGGTGTTATTCCTTTGTGGATGGAGGCTTTTGCTTGTGCATGAGAGGAAATACTCATTTCCTTGTAGAAATAATTGCCTAATATGAATTAAACTAGGTTTCAAATATACATGTGGTAGGTTATTCTGGTTTTAGCCTGATTCTAATCCCAAATATGACTCTTCCTATTACATAACTTGTTCTTTGTGAGTAAATTATTTATGTATACTAAGGCGTTTTTTTCCCACAGCTTTATTGAACAGTTTATAGGCTTTTTGAATCTCCTTCTTGCCCTAAAGAGATTTCTCCAATGGAGCTTTGCCTAGGATTTTTTCCCGTAGAAAAGCAAACAGGTGCTTGAAAGGTTACACTCTATTCTGGGAGAAATCTGATTAATGTTGAAGGGCTGTGTCAGGTCAGACTCTATAACCTGCTGACAGATTATTTAGTGAGTGCCAGGATCAACTCTCAACGTTATCTCAGATTTTAATGGTTTTCTTGTGAAGGGCATTTGCAGACGAAACCACTTTGTATTTAAAATTAATTGTGGCTCTTAGAGACTGGTTAAAAAGAAATTCTTTCCTCAAGCAGGCAGTAATTTGAAAAGAACGAATGATTCATCAGATGAAGTTGCAACGGTTATAATTAACACAAATTGTTGCATTTAAAATAATGGTGAGGGGTACCTGGCTGGCTCAGTCAGTGGAACATGTGGCTGTAGGTCTTCGGGTTGTGAGTTCAAGCCCAATGTTGGGTGTCAAAATTACTTAAAAATAAAATCTTTAAAAAATAAAATAATGGTGAAATCTTACCCCCAATAAGAATTCCTCAAAAGAAGTTCCTATTAAACTATCTTAAATTCTGTGAAAATTTTCCAGATATCCTCAAAATTGCTTGAAAAACAAAAAAGTGATACTTCTTCCTGGTAGGGTAGACCTCAGTCATCCTTGATACTTGTCTTTCTCCACCACTGCTATACCTCCATCCAGTACCCCAATGAGTCCTTCTGTTACACTGGATCTCCAATCTCTGCACACTGACTGCACTGCCACCATTTCACCACTGAGTTACTAAGATAGATTCCTGATTCATCCCCTTTTTCTGCTCTTGCTCTCCACACAGCCAGCAGAAGAATCTTTTTTCTTTCTTATTATCATTGATAATAATAATGGAAATTTTAAATAATGTATAGTGGAAAATTTGTATAACGGGAAATTTCAAATATAGATCAAAGTAGAGAAATGAGAGTGCTTCTCATTCCACTTTATAATTTTCCCTTCATGGCCAATCTCATTTCATCCATTCCTCCATCACTCCTCCCCCCTATTGTTTTGAAAAAAATCCCAGACACCATATCATTTAATCAACTAATTTGGAACTGCCCCATAGTGAAATTTTGCTTACTGGTTGGTCATAAAGGTAGGAAAAGTTGCTGTCCTAAGAGGGATATTGCTTGCCACCTTCCTTATACTCTCTTCCAATTATGTTTCCTCTCATTTTTTTCAGGATGTATTCCACTTCTGTTTGAGAAATGCAGTCACCAGAAAACAGAGTTTCATGTGTCCATTTCATATTTGTTTGTTTGGTTTTTCTGGGTCCATTTCATGTTAAGCCAGTTTTTTCAGGATGCATATATAGACAGACACTCTCCTACTTTTGTACCAAATAAGTTCTTTAAAATGTGTGTGAAAGTTGAACATACAAAAATGTAAATATGTATGTGGGGAGGATGTTTAATGCTCAGCAAGCCTTAAAAATTATAAAATTCCTAATATTTTTATAAAATCAATACATAATCATTATAAAAATAAATTTTAAATAGTTCAGAACAGTATGAAGTTAAAAAGCTAAAGTCTCACCATTTGTTCACTGATCATTTTCAGTCTCTTATTTCCAAAACTACTATTAATACTTCTTATAGATCCTTCCAGAAAGGTTGATATATGGTCATTTAAAGCCTTAATAATGTATATATATCTGATCTTTTAGTTCCCTCAGTTCATTTAAACTTAGCAGACAGAAATTGATTTTAATGTTGAACAACTAGCTTTGGGTTTTGTAAGGAGTTGAATAGGAGGTGGTATGATGTTGACTTTGGTGTCTTACTGACTTTCTTAAACACTAGTTTCCTTTTGATAAAGGAGTCTTGTGTACACTCTGAACTCATCAGCAGCTCTATGGACCCATGCAAATCTCAATACCATTGCTATCCAATGGAAGTACAATGTGAGGGGCCCCTGGGTGGCTCAGTCGGTTGAGGATCTGACTCTTGATTTCAGCTCAGGTCATGATTCCAGGGTTGTGGGATTGGGCTCCACATTAAGTGTGGAGCCTGCTTAAGATTCTTTCTCTCCCTCTGCCCCTCTCCCCTCTGCATACTCTCTCTCACCCTCTCTCTCTCTCTCTCGGGGGAAAAAAAAAAAAAGGTGAACCACACATGTCATTTTAAATTTCCTAGTATTCACATTAATAAAACAAATAGAAACACGTGAAATTAATTTTAATCTTTAGCACATTATATCCAAAATATTATTTCAACATGTAATCAATATAAAAATTTAGTGAGATATTTTACCCTTTTCTTATACTAAGTTTTCAAAATCCAATGTGTGTTTTATACTCAGAGGACTTCTTAATTTGGATCAGCACCATTTCAAAGGCTCAGTAGTCACTTGTGGTAGTGGCTGTTGTATTAGACAGTGCTGACCTGTACAGAATAGTGGCTGTCTCTGAGGGAGGAGGAAAGAGGATGGGATATGTTTTTAATTATTTCTTTATTTGATAGTTATTGATCAAAATTTGAAGTTAGAGTTTGCTGTGTTTGATATCCTGAATGATTGCCAGCTCTGGCTCAGTTGTATTATCACTATCATCAGCATTTTTTTAAAAAATCAGTTTTCATTCTTATAAAATAGAACACAGTAATAACATAAATACTTCTATACGAAGACGATAATCCTGCTGAAGTTGAACTCTTGGCTAATAGGCAATGCCACCCTGTGGTAACACACATATTTATTCATCAATTTATGAAAGATCGAATTCTAAGTAGAGAATGTGAATTAGGAGTGTTAGTATATAATACATTATTTTTGAGAGAGAGAGAGAGAGCACACACGGAAGAGGCAGAGAGAGAGGGGGACAGAGGATTTGAAGCAGGCTCTGCATTGACAGCAAGCACCAAGCCTGATGTGGGGCTCAAACCCACGAACCATGATATCATGACCTGAGCAGAAGTCAAGACGCTTAACCATCTGAGCCACCCAGGTGCCCTTTAGTGTATAATACATTAAATATGAGCACTTTTCATTCTGAATTCCAGGGTAAATACATGTACTAGTATGTAGTAAAATTAACTGTTAGTAGGAGACAGGAATAAAAATTCCTGAGAGGTCAGTAAGAACATCCTTTCAATGTAATTTTTTTGTTTTGTTTTTAGGGGTTGCTGATGGTGTAGGAGGATGGAGAGACTATGGAGTTGATCCATCTCAGTTCTCAGGGACTTTAATGCGGACGTGTGAACGGTTAGTAAAAGAAGGACGGTTCGTCCCAAGTAATCCCATTGGAATCCTCACCACGAGCTACTGTGAGTTGCTGCAAAATAAAGTACCCTTGCTTGGTAAGTAGCTATGCTGTGTGTTTTCCTCTGCAAAGAAGCTCAGGAGATGGTCAACAAAACCAAGAAAATCACTTGGCAACCCACCTTTTTTTCTGAGGCTCTTTATTAAGCAGAGTTTGATAGAAAAGCTCTGAGCTTCTCTCACTCTCTACGTAAGTACTACTGCTTGGAGGGGATGTAAATAGGTGCGGCCACTTTGGAAAACAATTTGGTATTATGGAATAAAGTTAAATGTAAACAGAGTGTATGACATAGCAGTTCCACTCCTAGGTCTATACCCTAGACCAGAGAAGCTCTTGCATATCCGTGTACCAAGAGATAGGTACAGGAATGCTCATATAACAGCAGAAGACTCAGAACAAATCTAGAAAGTCCATTTACTGTAGAAAAATGCATTTTGAAAAGGAACAACGTAAAGCTGCACGCAATATTCAGGAACATGATGTTGAGGGAAAATAGAACATTGTGGAATATCACCTAACAGTTTAATTCCACATTTCAAATTCAGAAACATAAATAAGTAAAACCATATTGTTCAGGGTTTCCAAAATGTGATAAAAGAAGAAAGAAAAGTAAGTGGTTGTATAATTCAGGATAGTGGTCCTCTCCAGGGGAGGAAGAAAGGGAATGGGATTGGGTATGTAAAATTAAGTTGATTACCTGTGGGGAGTTCAAGTTGCATTTAGGTACCCTAGACTGCTAGCAGGTAGCTGATTAGTCTGTGAGATAGCATGACACAAAATAGATCCCCATTAATCTTGTATTAGAAAACTTCCAAATATCTAGTGTGTGTTTATCTGGTGTGCTAATAGAGCATCTTTTGGCCAAAGCTTCTACATTTGTTTGTTAAATGGTTTCCTGGGAACTTACCCAACAACTTACCCAGCCTTCTGAGCAAGCTCTCAGAAGGCTGTTATGAAGTTTCTGCTAATTGCCAGCATCTTTCTGGTTAGTAGAAGTAGCCTCCTTCCCAGTCACCATCCATTTTTAAAATCAGCCTCTGATCAGTGTTAATGGAGATTTCCATGTTGTAAAATTTTGCCTTCAATTTAAATCTTTTATAAGAAGGTGTTCTTTTTATCATGCTGCCATCTTCTGTCTTAGTGCTGTGACTAATCAGCTTGTTTTCCTTCTAACTGAAGAGAAACCTTGTCTTGAGGTTTCAATATACCGCTTTGTCTTAATCCGCTATTTTGGACATGCAATCTGGAGCTTGCCTGGCACAGTGAAACACCCTAGATTCTATTTCTAGCACCTCTGTCAACTTTCCATATGACTTTGGGAAAACTACTTAACCTCTGACCCCCTTGCTTCATTTGTTCAATGGAGAGATCTTTTTCTGTGAAAAGGAACAACTCAAAGCTTCATGCAATACTCAGAAGCATGTTGAGGGAAAGAGGGCATTGCAGAATACTATCTAAAAGTCTAACATCTGACAAAGAGCCTATAGACACAGATTCCAGGTCCCAACTCCTGCTTGTTCCCATGAGTCCTTTGCCAACACCCCCTATCAATTCACTGCAACTTGGAATGAGCAATTGCAAAGCAACAACTATCCTGATTTTGTACTTTGAAAGCTTTAGCTTTGTTTTTTGCTATGTTTCTTTCTTATCCCTCCTTCCTTTCCTGTTTACCCTCATGTAGTTGGAAGGTCTTAAAATAAATGTAAGGACATATTAGAAGTTTTCTTACATTGAATATTATAATCACTTCTTTTCTCCTAAAAGACATATTGAAATAATCCTTCATTACCATGTTTGATACATACACGCTTCTTTCACCTAATCTACACTCCTTTAAGCTGTTTAAACTCAAGCATCTTTTGGCGAAGACAGCCTGCTGAATTTTACTGAGCCTCTGATATAACCGCAAATAATGATAACTTTAGGTAATTCTTTTTTTTATCCAGGAATTGCTAAAAAGCCTATAACACAATTCCAATATAAAGGTCAACTACTCATTTCTTAAGAATTTCTAGCTGCTTTTATATCCAGGTCGGCATCACAGGCTAATTGTCAATATATAATTTCTCAGAAAACCATAAGTGGAGTTAGGTCTTATAAAACCAACATATCTTAAGAATTTGAGGGGGTGAGTCATAATAAGGTTCTTTCTTTACTGCACAAAAGGCTCCATAGTAGTTTACAAAATTAGGGGCCAGTGATAAAAATTATTTCCATTTTAGCATGAGTGATTTGCTTGGGTCCCTGTCTGGATTGTCAGTGGTCTGAACATCTTGACCCTGTTGTCCTCAGCACATTTTTTCTTCATTTCCTGCTTGTTCCTCTACAAATACACAAGAATAATGTATTCCAGGATTAGGCTCTCAGGGCCCGATCCATGTGCACACATCAGTTATTTGAAGAGGCAGAGGAGGAGTATATACTCCCAAATCCAGATGATTCCGTAACACTGGGCTTACCTTCATTTGTGCTTCTTTGCGTGTTAAAGCTCTGTCATTCACAAGGACCGTTTTGACTCCAACTCAGCAGGTGACCGTGACAGCCACAGGGGTGGCAAAACAATAGCCTGGGTTTGTCAGTGAGTAATAATGAGTCAACATGAGTCCTTCCTGCCCCAGGTTTTTCAAGGCTATGCTACTCGTCTGTCATTTTTCCTCCTCAGATTAATCCCATCAGCTTTCAGAAGATCTTTTGTGTGGTGATTCTATTAATGAAAAGTGATTGGAGTTTTTGTGCATTGAGTTAGGAAGGAAAGGTAAAATTGGTGATCTTAACGTAAGCTATGCAGATTATCTGGTGGCACTGCCAGTTCATTACAGTGCTGTGTTTTTCTCTGATGTTTAGTGGCTAGCGACTAAATAGCTTAGCGTTAGGGTGTCCGATTAGATAACAAGGAAATGGAATTTCTGAACCTTATGATGAGATAAATATTTTAAGTGTTTTTATATTAACTTACACATTTTTATTAAGGAAAAGTTAATAAATTACCCATAATCCCACAAAGGAAACTATTAATATTTTAGTGATTATGCTCCCTTATTTTTCTTTTGTGTATGTTTGTGCATAGAATAACGGTAATATGAATTGTGCATCTACCGTGTGCTTATAGCAGCCCCATGAGATAGATCCATAGGTACTTCTGTTTCTCATTTTGTTAGGAAGAAACTGAGGCCTAGAGAGAATAAGTGACTTGCCCACAGTCACACAGCTAGAAAATAATGGAGCCCTGGGATTTAACGCAGCTGGTTCCACAGCCTGTTTATTTTTTTTCATTTTGCTTTTAATAGGCATCTTAACAGTTTAGCTTTTGCCTACTATTATCTTTTTAAAATTACATTAAATTTTACTTTTTTTGAATTTAAATTTAAGTTTGAGAACACTTTTTATTTAAGGAAACTTAAAAAAATTTTTTTAATGTTTATTTTTGAGAGAGAGCAAGCAAAAGAACCAGCGGGAGAGGGACAGAGAGAGAGGGAGACACAGAATCCAAAGCAGGCTCCAAGCTCCGAGCTATCAGCACAGAGTCCAGGGCAGGGCTCAAACTCGCAAACCATGAGATCATGACCTGAGCTGAAGTCAGTTGCTTAACCAATTGAGCCACCCAGGTGCCCCTATTTAAGGAAACTTTAATGCCAACTTGTAATCTACTTGTTTCGCTTAAGTTATCTTTCGTTTGCAAATATATTTCTCTTAACAATTTTAGTGACTATCAGATAGCTAACACTTACTATGTGTTGTAAGTGTTTGACATGCTTTAACTAACTTTATCCTCACAAACTACACTAAGAGGTAGGTACTGTTATCCCTGTTTTGTAGATGAGGAAACTGAGGTGCAAAGAGGTTAAGTAAGTTGCCCAGGTCACCAGGTGAGTAAGCGACAGAGCCAGCATTCAGATGGGGCCAGGCTGACGGCAGAGTCTGTACTGCTAAGTATTCCATGATAGTGTGCAGCCTCCTGCTGTTACATCCTCCTGGAGGTGCTGTAACTGATTTAACCAGTCTCTTAATGTCAAATGTGGAGGTTGTTTCTAGTTCTTCAACAATGCTTTTGTACTTACTTTGTTTACATCTCTAGTTGTTTCTTAGGAATTGCTAAATCAAGTGATACACACATTTCCCAATGTTGTATTGCCCTTCAGAAAGGTTGTTTAGTTTTACCCTCCCACCATCATGGAATAAGAATGACCATGTTCCCTGCACTCTTGTCAACACCACGCAGGATTTTTTTTCTTTTTTTTTTTTTTTTGGACCCTTGTTAAACTAATAGGCAAAATGGCTACTAGTGTGATGATGATTTTTTCATATATTTAAAGACCATTTACATTTACTTCTTGGTGAACTGTTTATTTTTCTATTTTGCCACTTTTTCTGTAGGTATAAGTTTAAATTTTAGTACTTGAAAGCAGTAGTACTGGTGGTACATCAGCTTTTCAATCTGCAGGTCATGTGAGCTGTGTGCTGCAAAGCTACACAGAAGCTTTTGCTCTCTGCTTGGACATGCTCGCTTCTCTCTGAACATTAATGGTCTCTGTAAGGTCAACAGGTGGATCCCATAGGCTACCTGAGAAAAATTGGTCTTGTCACTTCATAGCAAGTCAGTCTTTGATGAAGGTTCCTCATGACCTCAACAGATGGAAATCTGGTTAAATATTATAGTTATGTGCCCTCTTAAATTTTAGTGAATTTCATGGAGAAGGCTTGCTGCTGATGACTAATGAGAAATGTCAGGAAAACATAACATTCTTATTCTGGCATTTAAGTATTAAAACTTAAAATTTCAACAACATGGTTTTGAGCACTTGGCACAGATTATAGTGCTATTGAAATGAAAAAAGTATGGTTAGATACCAGCCATTTTTATTGTTTTCTGTCTCTGCAAATGAAAGATTTCAGATTCAGGGGCCTGCTTACTATGTGTAATATTTCTTTCCCTATTATGTTGACCCTGATCAGGTTACTATTGACACTTGTCGGAGATTTGGAGCATGACTAAGATAGGCAAAGGAGGTTCCAGTTGTGGCATATTGCTTTTTGGGGTGATGTGATAAAAATGTGGATGCAAAGATAGGAAGGTAGAAAGAAAAAATAAACGGGGATCATTTTTGTTTCTAGGTAGCAGTACTGCCTGCATTGTGGTGCTGGACAGAACTAGCCACCGCTTACACACAGCAAACCTGGGCGATTCGGGCTTCCTGGTTGTCAGGGGTGGTGAAGTTGTGCACCGATCAGATGAGCAGCAGCATTACTTCAACACTCCATTCCAGCTCTCAATTGCACCACCTGAAGCCGAGGGAGTCGTCCTGAGTGACAGGTAATCTCCCCTCTTGGCCATTACATTAAGAGCCAGTAGGACATGGCTCGCCCACATCCTCCTCCCATCCCCCTTTACCTACAGTGGAGATGGGCATTTTCAGTTCTCATATGACATAAGGCACATTGAGAATGTTCTCATCAAAAAGATCTTTTAGTTTGACTGAAAGATATTTTGCTGGCTATTGCAGCCAAGTTGAATTCTAACAAACACCCAATAATTTGACAAGACTGAAAATATTCTTCAAGCTTACAGAATATCAGTTTGTCATATCAAGACCAACATGGTATATACGGTTATATTTGTTAAATTGTGCTGGAGAAGTGAATCATTGTCTATGCATGCCACTGCCCGTATGAGAATTTGCATATGTTGTTAGGGAAGAGTTCAAACAGACATCTGCTTTATTTATCAGAATAACTTCCTGATTCTCAGGGCCTCCTATTATATGCATCAAATAGAACTTTTAAATTGTCAAGACCTTTCAAGACAATAACTACTTTTCTGAATCAACTTTTACAGTTTATCTTTCCTAAGATCAGAGTACAGAATAAAGCTAAGACAGTCTCAGATTCCTCTTCCTTTAACAACCTTATGGGACCCGGCACAAACATATTTGATTGTGCCAGATTATGATTATGATTCATGAATGTTGTAAAATGGGTAATGAACCTTTTGTAAAAATAGAAGTAGTCTTGCAAAGGTCTGTTGTCTCTACTTAATAGTTCTTATTAAGCCAGATTTTGAGTGCAAACTAAGATAGAATGATTATTACTGCCATCTTTTAAACTGGAATGAGTATATTGTATACTTAGGTATTCAGGATTGTCCATCTAGGTCTGTTGCTGACTCCTAGAGAGAGGGAAGCATTTTTTTACTTTCAGATTAAGGTATGTTACCATAATTAGAAGAATATTTCATTATAGTCCCTTCTTCATTTGGCTCTAACATATATTCATATTAGCCATATTGGAGTGAGGAGAAAGCAGAACCCCAGGGGGTGGTAGATACCAAGCTCAGCTAACAGTTACAGAGAGCAGTGTTTTAATTTTCCCTTATTTGATTCTTGTTATTTTGGCATCTGAGTGCTAGAGCTGCCCTGCCATACCTCACACGCTATCTTTGGGACAGTCTGGTTAGGGCAGCGCTCTGGCCTGCCAGTGAGGTGGAGGTTGCTTCCCCCTGGAGCCCACAGACAGCTTGCTAGCATGTGACTTCAGCTCGTGTTTCAGTGCAGTCAAAAGTTTCCAGCAGCACAGTATGTTCAATCAAAACGGGCAAAACTGCAGCTGGCGGAACACCAAGCTCATGGGTGGGAGTGTTGGGAGAAGAGGACAAACCGTCCAATGGTAGCGAGTCTCGCACAGGCAGGATAGCAAAGGACACTCCTGGGGAAGAAAAACCTCAGCAGAAAATAGAGCTTCACTGCCAACCTGGTCATTAATCTAAACTTCTAGAATCTGATTCGTTTCCAAAGTCTGAGCAACTGTGAAGTGTCTTGCATTGTTTCTCTTTATTCCACAGAAGAAATCGACCTGGTTTCCACCAGTTTTACAGTCTTTTTTCCTCCTGCTGAATGACATTTCTTTTGTCACTCGGTTCCTCATATCTATAAAGTATAATTTTTCCTTAATTTACAGGTTTCCTTTAGTTTCCTTTTGGTTTGCTGTCTTTACAAAATATTTGTGATATAAATGTGTAAGTGATATGTGTAAGCCAAAGCCCATCACAGAACTTTGAAATGTGCTACTTCTTTTCCTCAGTCAGGAGTAGATGAACCAGAAATTTTCTCAGTGCACTTTGTATAAATCCCCAGCAGGCGTGGGTGGGTGGGTTTTTATGTTTTCTCTTCACATATTTTATAACATATCAGTTACACAAACAAGTTTTGGGATTTTTCTGTCAAGCTCAGGGTACTTGGTTCTGGCTTCTCCTTTCTGGATCAGTGTGTAAATTTTTTTCTTTGCATTTGTTCCCTAATTACAGGTTAAGGCAGATTATTAGATATTTCACCTTTCCTTCACCTTGGAGGCTTGGATTCAGTGAAGCTGGCCTTTGGAGATGGCTGAGAACCAGCCTTTGGGAGAGGGCCATTGACTCTTTGAGTATATGATCTTTTCTCCCCACCTGAGATCCCCGCCCCCCCACTCCACTTCTTGTATCTGTTTTCATCAGGTGTTATCACAGAAAAACAAACAAAAAACCACTCCCATCTATCTTTTTTAAAGTTGCATACAAAAAGATGTAGTGAAAAATCTACCTCCTATCCCATCCCCCAGCAATACATTCTCTCTCCTCAGCCACTGTTGTCTGTTCTTTGTGTCCTTCCAGATTTATTCTCTGCATATGGAAGCGTCTGTGTTTATGAATCTACCCCCCCTACACACACACACACATGCACACAATGTCTGTACAATCCTCTCTTCATTAACAATGTGTTGAACAGTTTTTCCCAATTTGGAGGGTTACTTTGTTTCTTCACTTATTAGATATTTCTTGAAGACCTACTTTGCACCAGGCATACTAATAATTAAATACTTACGTGATGACAGGGTGCCTGGGTGGCTTAGTCGATTAAGTGTCTGACTTCAGCTCAGGTCATGATCTTGTGTTTGTGAGTTTGAGCACCGTGTCAGGCTCTGTGCTGACGGCTCAGAGCCTGGATGGAGCCTGCTTCGGATTCTGTGTCTCCCTCTCTCTCTGCCCCTCCCCCGCTTGCATTCATTCTCTCTCTCTCTCTCTCTCTCTCTCAACAATAAATAAACGTTAAAAAAAAAAACTTACATGATGAGCACTCTTTAAGCCCTGGAGACACACAGTCCCTACTCTGCCTTACTAGTCCATACTAATACTAATCTAGTAGTAATACTAGTGATTACTGGCACTATAGTGAGAAATATCATTGTAGGTATTTCATGTGAATTCTTACAGGATTTGCATGCTCTCTTCCATGGTGCTCTCTTGTTACACTATTACGGCAGCCTCCTGAGAGCCAGAGTCAAGCCTGCAGGGAAACTGATGAGTAGAAAATGAATAAGAGAGGATGGAATTTGGCTCTAAAGAATTAGGAAATAAAGACTCATTTCTACTAGGCTTTTAGAGACATGTTAGTTCTGACTCAGAAAAGAACCCTTCCTCCTTTTAAGCCATATGTGACTAATCATCAAACTCAGTCTTACTTGGTAGTTTCAGTTAAGCTTTTGAAACATTTATATCAGATTTTTCAATTAATTTTTTTCAAGGTTAGGAATTTCAGAACAACTGGGTTTTTTTTTTTTAATGTTTTTTATTCTTTTTTGAGAGAGAGGGAGAGCGAGCCAGCACGAGCAGTGGAGGGGCAGAGAGAGAGGGAGACACAGAATCCAAAGCAGGGTCCAGGCTCTGAGCTGTCAGCACAGAGCCCGACGCGGGGCTCGAACTTGTGAACCGTGAGATCATGACCTGAGCTGAAGTCCAACACTTAACCTACTGAGCCACCAGGCGCCCTGTGACTGGGTTTTTTTTAATTTTTTTTTATTCTGTTATTATAAATTAGTTTTTCTTATAGCCTCATTACAATATAACATAGTGCCTGTTGGAAACTTTCACCATATCTCTGAAGGCCTCTTGTAACTTTGCCCCTACCCTGTCCTTGTCACAGCCCAGATGCTGCTGATAGCACATCTTTTGATGTCCAGTTAGGAGACATTATCCTGACGGCAACAGATGGACTTTTTGACAACATGCCTGATTATATGATCCTTCAGGAGCTAAAAAAGTTAAAGGTAATTAACTCAAAGGTTAGTTCGTGGAAGGAGAGGCCCTCTCTGGGCAGCTAAGTTTTATTGGTACAATTGTATTATCTCTTTTTGTAGGAAAGGACTCTTGTAAATTTAGGAAAGAAATAATAGTTCTGGTCTTTCAAGCAATTGTAAATGGAAATAGTCACAATTGGAGTACTTGAGAAAAAAAGAGGTTTCCCACCTACACCTTTTAGTAGAGTGGTAAAGGTTTAAAAAAAAAAAAAAAAAATGGTAAAGGTAGGAAAGTCCAGATGAGACATTTCTTGTATTTTTAATTGTATTTTAATGGTGCTGGTTCCTGGTTGTCTTTTTCTCCTTTTATTTCTTAACAGACTCAGCAGGTGTTGAGGTCAGGAAAGACAAGAAATCACCACACTAGAGCCAGCCAGGCCAAGGACAACAGGCAGCTAGGGGCCTTGATGTCAGCTGAGCTGTCCCAGTAACTAAAAGTTCAGACTTGGCCCATATAGAGAGTGGAAGGAAGTGAAAACCAGTTTTTCCATATTTTCCTGGCTTTGTAAAAGTACTAACTCTGGGGAAAATTAGTCTTTTCCTAGGTCCTTACCAGTAAGCAGTTATGACTTAAAGTAAGTTGCTGAACTTTTTTTAAGCAATATTTTCCTCACCTTTAAAATGGGGTGGGGGGTACCATGGTCTTAGTTAATCCTCACCACAATGCTATTATAATTTATAGACTAAGACCATGTATACGAGGTCCTTAGTGTCATGCCCCATCTGTGGGATACAGTAAAGGTCAGGTGCTTATATGGAGCTGGCCCTGTGCTCTGTGTGGTGACAGAGTGGTAAGCAGAAATGACACATTCCTTCCATATGGAGCTGACATTCTAGTGGAGAAAGATAATACAAAGAAAGAAATATATAATAAATGTTGGTGGCTTAGAAAGAAACTAAAGCAGGGTGAAGGAACAGAGAATAAAGCAAGCTGCTGTTTTAGAAAGATTGGCCGGGGAAGGCCTCTTTGAGGAAGCGACATTGAAGCAGAAGCCTGTTATTTATTTATACTAAAACTATTCCGAGTCTTAGCATGTTAGAGCTAAAGTGGACCTTGTTTCCCATCCCCATTTTACAGATGAGGAGGTTGAAGCAGCAAGGATAAGGGTATGGATCAAGATCACACAGCTAAACAAGAATCTTTCATCATGATATAAAATTCTGAAGGTATTTTCAATAGGACACCTGGCAGCTCTCACTTGGAGAGCAAACTGTGTGGTTGGCCAGGGTCGCATTCCTAAGCAAGGAAACTTTTGAGGTCCTCCCTGAAGTGCTATCAAAATCCACCTTTTCAGTCCTGTCCAGTTTTAGCAAGAATACCTTAAGAATTCCACATGGGAAAAAAAGCAGAAACGGAAATCCAACCTTCAGGGCCCAAGGCCACCTGAGCAAAGAATGACATCTGACTGACATCTTGTGCAGGCAGCACTGGTGGCCGTGTTCATTTTACTGAAGGTGTAATGTTTTAATGTCTTCTCTAACTAGAGTAAAAACTGAAATGCTGGAAACTGTGGCTAGATAAATGTTACTGTCTCAAAAAGTGGTATTTACAAAAAGTGTATGTACTTGTGTGCAGAAATCCTATGAGGCATTGTGTAAAAATAACTCCCTCATCCTTTCGTCTTAGAATTCAAATTATGAGAGTATACAACAGACGGCAAGAAGCATTGCTGAGCAAGCCCATGAGCTGGCCTATGACCCAAATTATATGTCACCTTTTGCACAGTTTGCATGTGACAATGGATTGAATGTGAGAGGTAAGCATTCCTTAGGAAGGTCATAGGGACTAACTGGGGACATAGTAGGATGGGAGCATTCTGGGCTGTGGGGTGAGGTAAACTAGAGCACTGGGGTGAGACCGGTAAGATATCCTCTTCAGTTGGGAGCCCGTGGCTTTGAGCCTGGTCAGCAGGCCCTAGCACTGAAGGACAAGAGCAAGTACCTGTCATCGTGTCTTCCCCACAGAGGATGCCCTCCAGAACTGAACTCCATTGGCTGTAGAGGCAGGCGGAACCTGAAGCCCTTGATTGCCACCACTGCACTGCTTGGACCTGAGCCCAAAAGGCCTCTAAGTCTGCCTAGAGGCCCTGGACATTCCTAACAGCTTAACATTCTGCCCTTCACGGGTCTGACATTTCACTTCTCCCTTCCTCTGGCCTTGTGGGACTCGTTGACGATATTTGCCTGCCAGATTACCACAGCAGGTTTTGAAGGGGAAAGCAATGTTAAACTGCCCTTGCCTCAAGAGTCCTTCTATCTGCTGAACGATATGTAACTTCGGGAGCAGGCCAGCAGCTCAGTCTTAGAGCTGGGGTGACATGTTGTGCTGTCGTATCAGAACTTGTGGAGTTGGTCAGTGTCTTGCTGGTACAATATTGTGACATGTAAAGCATTTCTTAGCCCTCCAGGAAGTATTAAAATAGAAAAAAGCACATGCCATAGCTGTTTGGCAGATTAGAATACAAGACTATTCCTAGTTTCAAAACATTAGATATGTTTGTCCAAATTAGGATTGTGAGTAAAAGCCTGTAACTTTCTCATCAGGCAGAATTTATCCCAACCAGATTTGTCTAGTTTACTGCGATTGCTGTAGACAGAGGATGTGGTAGCCATTTTAATAGAGCTCCTGTGGTAAAGAAGCAGCGAAGGTTTTTTTTAAACCTCAGTTAAACTACATGTCATTTTTTTTTTAACTATTTCTCTTTATCAGATATTTTCCATATCAAATACTTTTCTACTAGAGCATGTTGACACATCAAACCTGCCTTACTTGCAAACTTTTATCTCCTAGTACCTGCTTAGGCTTACTTTTTTAATTGACTTTTCCTTTTAAGATCTCTGAATACATTTTCATTTTCATTTTCATTTTCATTTTCATTTTCATTTTCATTTTCATTTTCATTTTAGGTGGAAAGCCAGATGACATCACCGTCCTTCTTTCAATAGTGGCTGAGTATACAGACTGACCCGCCTAGGTGTCAACTCCGGCCTTTCCTTTCATCTTCCCAAGTTCTCCCCTGCCACATGTGCTGATCCTGCTGGCGGGACCGTGTTTCTTTGCCACTGATCTCGATGGCCGGTGATGTAAGCCTTTGCCTGTCTTTTTGAGACCCGGTTGAGATCTTTGTGGAGAACCACTACTGTCGTTTGTTCGCTAGCTCATTATCTGCCAGCAACTTTGAAGAGAATCAAGATTTGAAGATAGGCCTTCACTTCCTACTGTCCTTTCTCCGATGGGATGGAGGTTTTCAAGGCCAAAATGGCTATTGCGTTTCCAAAATGGTTTAGGCATTGAAAATGATGATGTTGGTAACGTGCATTCAAAATTACAGTGTGTAAAAGGGATTTTTAAAGTCTAACACAAATTGTATGTTATGGTACATCTACTAGAAACATACATTATCATCAAAAGAAACGTTACACACGTACTATACAGTCTTTGTTATGATGATTGGGTGTGGCTTTATGTTTTCATTATAAACTCCTCTTTTTCAGGGGCTTATAATTCTGCTCTAAAACACTGCTCTGGATTATGAAGTCTTTATCCCAGGAGCTTTTTTGTTACAAATTGGAAGAAAACTTCAGTTTAGTTCTATGGATGCAAATGTTCTGTGGTTTTTAAAAGATGCCTAATTGTACTCCTGTAAGGAAAGTTTCGGCAGTTTATTGAGTGGTCCAAATCATAGGCTGGTGGCCTGATCTGCAGGAGGGGTGAGGGAGACTCCCTACCAACATTTTTCAATGGAAATATTATTCAACATTGTAAACTCCTCAAAGCCTAGAAATTTAATGTTGTGGATGAAGTTCCTCCCAGCTGTCAGATACGATGCCCCTGTGTGGGAGTCCCTGGGCCACAGGCCTCACAGTGGACAGCTGTAACTTTGAATTTTGTTGGCTTTTACAGTCGTGCTACTCCTGGTCTCCCTGTCAGACCTGTCATTAGTAGCCTTGCTCTCCGTAGAGCGTGCACCACATTCGGGGAGTCTGTGTGGAAAGAGCACCTTGGGCGATGGCAACAGCACAAGAGTCCACAGGGAAAACTCCTGGTGATGATCTGACATTTGCATTTGCCCTACACAGAAATTTAGGGGTTTCTGAATCAAGCTTAATGTTTACAGTTTCCGAATAGCCATCTTGCAGTGTATAGTTTCCTTATAAAACTACCCCGCATTCAGTTTTCCCTTTATCTGCAAGCCCAGACTTATTTTTAAGGTTTGTGTACAAGTCGACTGCTGTAAAGATATATATTTTTGGGTCAGTTTTTTTTCCTTCATTAACTTGGTGGTAGAAAAAAAATATATATATATATACACACGTATATATATATGTATATATATACGTATATATATATATACGTATATATATACGTGTATATATATACGTATATATATACATATATATATATACACTTAGAAATTCTTAAATTAAAGCCATGTTTTATATATAAGTCAGGTAACATTGGTGTATAGATGAGAATGCAATTAAACCTGATGAGAATCTACTGGAGGAGAATACAGAAAGTCTCTTTCTCTAAAGGAGATACTTATTCCCTGGTTTATTGCATTAAAACTTATGTTTGAGGTTACCTCAACTTGTTTTAAAAGATTTTGTTTTGTGAATTTGTACTGTATATTTGAGTAACTGTCAAGCTTTTGTTTTATTTAAAATTGTTTAACATGTACCATGTACATGTCATTACTATATTTCAATGCATCATGCTTGTAACAGGCATTTCATTTATAATAAGAATGAGTTATTCATTTGTAAGCTGTTCAGTAATTTATCTACTATTCCTAAATTGGCATAATGTTAGATATCTATTTTGAATCACCTTTAATTACATGTCAGAATGCCTTAACTACCCTAACTTGACAAAACAGAATTCTTTGGTAGAGGAGATAGGGGACGGGGCAGGGGGATGGAGGGGAGACTGTTGAAATAATGAGTAGCCATCGTGCTTTGATAAAACACAGAAGCGTGAGTGGCAAGTGGTGGGGTATTTATTTTGCACAAACTGTTTGCAGTCTCTGTGTATTTAAAAAGTAAAGAAAGTTGCATCCAGAAGGGTTTTGTTGGAAGGAATACATTTATACTTGGACTGACAATTTCAGTTCTTTTGTTTGGGTTTTTAATTATTTCTGGTCAGAGGTATGTAGCCTTATGATCTGGATATATTTTGCATTAATTTTCCAATGCCTACATTTAATTCCTTGTAAGAGCAGTTCTGTTCAAGTCACTGGCTTTCCTCTGCTCTCATTTAACCCTTCAAACACAATCTTTATAAAGCTAGATTGGTGGTGTTTTACACAACACATTTATTTAATCAACTTACTTTTTTTGAGAAATGACTGTTAGAAACCGACATCGTTTGTGTCAGTGATGTTGAAAGTAGCAGGACAAGAATTGAGTTTCACAGTGGAACTGACTTTGGACCTGGCCTGTAGATTAGTGACACAGTATTTTCTCTATTTTCTTTTGCCCTGTCCTTTGTGTGTTGAGCACTTCATTTTGTGACTGGGGGTTGGGGGGAGTGGTCAGTTGAAGTGCTGCTTAACAGGGAACTCTCCTTCCACTCCCAGCAATCAGAGGCTCTGCTGGATCCATACTGGAATTTTCCAGGTCACAGAACCCAAGTCTCTGGGGGGTGTGACTGAGATATACTACTTGGTGGGTCTGATTCTGAACTTGATGTGTGTGTTAGTTGTATTTTAAATCAAGCGGTATAAACACACACACACACACACACACACACATACATTTGCCTCATCCAATGGACTTTTATAACAAAAGAGAATTTGGATTTCTAATTTACAAATGGCAAATTATTTATCCCTCTCTGGATGCACCAAAGACCAGTAAAGTTTATAGCTTTTCCATCTATATTTATAAAGCAATACTGTATTATAAAAATCAATATTTTTATCACATGCTTGAAATTTTTATTTTATTCTGTTTTAAAATGTGCACTCTAAACATATCAGAACCTTATTTCTTCCTGTGAACTTAAGCTGCCTGCGCACAAAAAAATTTACTGAATGGATAATGCAGTAGAATCCATAGGCTCTTCAAAACTGAAAGAAGAAATGGGGGTGGGGGAAACAAGTTACTTGTCCTGAATTACTGTCCCGGCTTGATGTGGTTGATAGGTACTAAATCACAAAAGAATCCATTCCAGGTATGCATGTCTGGGGGGGCGGGCTGTGTCTAGATTAGAAACTAGATTTTAAGCTTTGCGTGATAGGAGTGTGTCCTCTCCTGTCAGCTGCATTTGTTCTGGATAGAACAGTAGCCTTCAGTACCACCTTCAGTAGCACCAACCCACCACCTTGAGTAACGAGGCAGGAGTTGTTGGGATTCACTGAGTCGGTTTTGAGCATTTTGGAGATTGTAAACAAGATTGGCTAGAACTGTAAATGTTTGTCCTCTGGAATAAGTTCATGGTTCCTTGTCACCTTATACCAGCTATCTTTGGTAGAAGCTACAGCATCCAATTTCCCTGGAAACTATCACATTTTGCAGTGAAAAAATTTTACAATATGAGAAACAAAGCAAAATCTACTTATAAAATTGAAAATGTGAAGCAGAAAAGGATTTGGATTCTATTTGCTAAAAAAAAATTCTTTGCAAAATTGAACTTCTCAAACTAAACATCAACAGTGTCCATGGCAAAAATTTTAACTGTTAGCAGGTAGTTTGTGGCAAAGATGGCTAAATAATGAAGCAAATTTGAATTTGTGTATACTAATGAGCTGCTTTTTTCTGTTGAGACTATCATTGTTTGTCTTACCCAAGAGGCAATGACCTGAATTGGATGTCTGAAATATAACTTATGCAGGAATAGTTCTGTAAATACATTTAAATAAACTGTAAAGATATTTAATAAATATAGTATTTATACTAATCTGCGTTAACTCCTCTTAATTTGAACCTTAACCACGTAAGACACCAGCCCTTGGCATTTTGTGGGTCTCTGTCAAGTCCTCATTTCCAAGGCTCTTAGTCATGCCAGCAGTACTCCTTACTTTGTAGCTATCATTTTCTGTCTTTTACTAGTTCATCCCACTTAGCTCTTTTTCACCAGCGGGTTTACTACATCAGTTTAGCTGCCTCAAAAATTCATCAAAATGGACTGATAATTGAATGTAAAATATAGATGTTTTCCCAACTGAGAAGGCTTTTGCATCTTCCAAAAATGGTATGGAATGAAGCCACAAAAAAATCTGGTGTCATTTAAACTTAGCATTCTGTATGCAAATTATAAAACCCAAATTACATACAATTTAATAGTGTGACTATGTCTTCCAGACTTGTGCTGCATCCAGGCAATTATTGGTGAGGGTGCCTTCACAACGTGCACCCCTCTGCCCATTTCAGCGAGCGAACCAGAAACTTCATCGTCTGCAAGGAGACCTCCGGTTACTCTTGGGTACACCTGCTCTCTTTGTAGTCATCCGCAATCGTTAGGACTTTGTGAAATTTCAGTGTTAATCATCAGTGTAAGCATAAGATATGTAAATCTTTAGCCTACAGTGTGAAAGGACTTGAAATTATGTGGGCATTGCCAATTTCCACAAAAAGCTTGGTGAAAGCCCATTTTCATTCACTGAGGAACGTTTTGGGATGAACTTGAGTTTTTATTAGGTTATTGTGGGTAGCTCTGACTCATTGACTAAGCTACAAGAGCCAAATTCATTCTGGTTTTAGAACTCTGTTCACAGTTCTAAAGTTTACTAATTCACTCTGCCACCTTTGTGTATGAAATCCTCACAAAACGTACAACTGCTTGCCAGTGAAACATTTCCTTGTGATGTGTTGGTTCACAAAGACTCTACAGTAAGATGTTACAGAAGTCAAGAGTTTGTCAGGTTATAATCGACTCTAAACAGGTTTGGGGGAGGGAGAGGCAGGCGTAAAATTACATAACAATGGTTTTGTGCCAGATTTTTTAGTCTGTTTGTTCAGGTAGGAAGCTGATTCTCAGACGGACAAAGAACAGAGACATTTGTAATCTACCTCATTTTACTCCAAACCTAGGGTCCCTGGCAGTGGAGGCTGCTGATCTATGTCAGATAACAGAAATAATTTTTTGGCATCAGTTCCATTATATTCTTTTCTGCATCACACTGCAAAATGTAAAAACCACATATGAAAATCAGAACAATTTAAGGCTACAAAATAAAATTTTACAATACCTAAAAAAACTCCAAAGTGAGGGGGGGTAGCTATTATTTTTATTCCAGACTTTTTTTTCCAGAGATTGTTTTACTTAAAGTATAAAAAGCAATGAACAAAAAAAGTCATGCATTACACGAGAAAAGATTGCATAACTTTTAACTGTCTGAAAGCACCCAAACTCAAATGTTTGCAATCAAATACAAAAGCTACCTACTAGTCACAAGACCACAGGCCATATTGACGCATTCCAAAGAGCTGCTGAAGAAAGTCTAAATACCTTTATAAAAACTGGCAAAGAAAATGCTAAAAGCTCTAGTGTGAACGTGCACTGAATTGGAGAACTAGAATGGGCTTTTTCCCTGCACGGGAAAACTCTTCTGCCTCCCAAGTAGCATAATGGATTTAAAGTAAATATGTCCACTTAACAAGCAGCTATTTCTAGATATGGCTGTTATACCAGATGATGATGTTGAGAAAAGCAGAAACCCATCCCCCATTTCGAGGAAGGCCAAGACAATATCTTTATTGACTAAATGTGAAAACGTGTCTGAGGTTGCAAGTGAGCTAGCAAATGGGCTGAGGGCCAATTCAGCCATCATTAAGTGTTAGAATGTGGAAAAACTGCCATCATTCATGTCCTCTTCACTGTCACTTGCTGTTGCCAGACTGTCAAAAGGGTGGTTGAAGCGTTCTTGCTGGTCAGAAGAAACTGCTCCAAAGAACATGCAAGAAAACTGGAGGGAAAGAAGTTACTCCACTGTTTATTCAAATGAAAGTGCTCATTAGATGCCCCAGGTACCAGCCCCTTTTCAGAAACTTGGCCAATATGGTCCCCTAACATTAACGGTGATGGTTCATGGAACACCCCAAACCTTCATGACTGGTCCAGCACATCCTAAAACAAAACCTTTCCCTGACTTCAAGGCACAGTTTGGGATAAGTGATGTGCTTCTGACTCTTCTAAGCCATTAAAAAAAAATTTTTTTTTAAGTTTATTTATTTGAGAGACAGAGTGGAGGAGGGGCAGAGAGAGAGGGAGTGTAGAGCTCTGTCAGCACAGAGCCCAGTGTGGGGCTCAAATTAACGAACCATGAGACCTGAGCTGAAACCAAGAGTGGGACACTTAACCAACTGAGCCACCTAAGTGCCCCCTGCCTGAGCCATTAAAACTCACACCAAGGCAGTGGGAGACAAAGGGACCTTCTGCGGGCTACTTGACTAATTCATCTTCCCTTTCCCTCCTGCTTCAGCAGAGGCTACCACTCACTCCCAGCTGAGGCCAATCCTTCCCTCCCTGTCTCTGCCTCCCAGGCCTCTCCTCTCTTGAATAGGAATATCACCACTGTAATCAAATGTCACTTATCTCTTTTTTTCTTAATATTTATTTATTTTTGAGAGACAGAGCAAACGGGAGGGGCAGAGAGAGGGAGGCAGAGGATCTGAAGCGGGCTCTGCACTGACAGCAGAGAGCCTGATGCCAGGCTCCAGCTCACCAACCGTGAGACCATGACCTGAGTTGAAGTCAGGCACCTAACCTACGGAGCCACTCAAGCGCCCCTCTCATCTATAAAATAGCCTTATCCCATTCCCCACTTCCAACCGTTGCCTGACCTCTGCTGTAGAGTTGTCTGCATTTACTGTCTCCATTTTCTCATTCTCCTATTCCTCAATCCTATCTGAAAAAGCTGCTGACCCCATCACTTCACAAACTGTTCTTGTGGTCACCCCAAATCACCACATCCTTGTCAATGACCATTTGGGGTCTTCATCCCATTTGATACTCACTGACTCTTCTCATACCTTCCCCCTGCCACACTCTCCTGGTTGCCTTTAGAATTTTCAGCTGGCTCGCCCTTTGAATTGGGGTTTCGCAGTCAGCACTACAGACATTTTGGGGCTGAGGGTTTTTCATTGTGGGGACTGTGCTGTGCAGCAGGGGATGTTGAGCGGCACCCATGGCCTCTATCCACTAGATGCCAGTAGCATTCCCCACCCCCCACCAAACTGCAACATCCAAAAAGCCCCTAGACATCGCTCAGTGTCTTCTGGGGAGCATAACCACCCAGGTTAAGAACCACTGCTTTAGGGGCACCTTGGTGGTTCAGTCAGCTAAACGTCCGACTCTTGATTTCAGCTCAGGTTATGAGCTCATGGTGTGTGAGATCAAGTCCCATGTTGGGCTCTGTGCTGACAGTGCAGAGCCTGCTTAGGATTCTCTGTCCCTCTCTCTCTGCCCCTACCCCACACTCGCATACTCTCTCTCTCAAAAATAAATAAACATTAAAAAAAAAAAAAAAGACATGGAGCCTGCTTAAGATTCTCTCCTTCTTCTGCCCCTCCGAGGCTCTCATGCACACGCACACCCTCTCTTCCTCCCTCTCTCTCAAAACATAAATAAAAATAATTAAAAATAAATAAATAATTTGCCTCAGTAAAACTGCACCCAAAATAATAAGCTACTTAGAAATAAGCCTAACCAAAGAGGTGAAAGATGTGTACTCTGAAAACTGCAAAGCACTACTGAGAGATTGCAGAGGACACAAAGAAATGGAAAGGCATTCCACGCTCATGGATTGGAAGAATAAATATTGTTAAAATGTCTATACTACCCAAAGCAATCTACTCATTTAGTGCAATTCCTACCAAAACACCAACAGCATTTTTACAAAAATAGAACACACAATCCTAAAGTTTGTATGGAACCACAAAAGACCCTAAATAGCCAAAGCAATCTTGAAAGAAAAGCAAAGCTGGAGGCATCACAATTCCGGACTTCAAGTTAAATTACAAAGCTGTAGTAATCAAAACAGTACGGTACTGGCACAAAACCAGACACAAAGATCAATGGAAGAGAATAGAAAATCCAGAAATAAACCCACAATTACATGGCCAATTAATCTTCGATGAAGGAATATCTGATGGGACAAAGAATGTCTCTTCAACAAATGGAGTTGGGAAAACTGGACCACTTACTTACACCATACACAAAAATAAATCCAAAATGGATTAAAGATCTAAATGGGAGACCTGAAATCACAAAAATCCTAGAAGAAAACACAAGCAGTAACTTCTTTGACACAGGCAGTAGCAACTTCTTTATAGATATGTCTCCTGAGGCAAGGGAAACAAAAGCAAAAATAAACTATTGGGACTACATCAAAATAAAAAGCTGCTGCACAGTGCAGGAAACAATCAACAAAACTAAAAGGCAACCTACAGAATGGGGAAGTGGTTTGCAAATGACCTATCCAGTACAGGGGTAGTATCCAAAATATGTAAAGAATTTATGAAACTTGAGCACCTGGGTGACTCAGCTGGTTAAGCATCCGACTCTTGATTTCAGCTCAGGTCATGATCTCATGGTTCGTGAGTTTGAACCCCACAACAGACTCCACGCTTACAGTGCAGAGCCTACTTGGGTTCTCTCTTTTTCCCTCTCTCTGCCCCACACCTGCTTCCGTGCTGTCTCTCTCTCTCAAAATAAATAAATATTTAAGCAGAAAAAACAACACACTTTTAGGAATTTGCCTTGAAGATACACTTTCGACAATATGAAAATACATGTGTAAAAGTTATTCACTGCAGCTTTGTAACTGCAAAATATAAGGGGGGATTATCTAAATGCCCACATATAAGAGAATGGTTGAATTAATTATGGTACATCACAGGTGAAATACTACACAACTGCTGGGGGGGGGGGAACATAGAAAGTGACAGGGAGTGATTTGCAGTACATACTAGTAGGTGCAAAAAGCCAAGCGGAAAACAGCATGTATAGTATAAGAAAGGAGAAGAAATAAAATATATGCATCTGCTCATTTGTGCAAAACTAACACAAATGATCAATGAAAAACTAATGAGATGTATTCTCTACAAAGGGTACAAAGAAGGGAGTGATGATCCCTTCTTTGTCTCTGCAGAGACGCTTGCATAGTTCTGACTTCTAGTGCTGTTCACGGGTCAGCACTCAAAGACCAAATCAACAAGGATTTGGGGAGAACCAGAATGGAAGACAAGCAAACAAAGGTATCCATATGATGATTAATATAACCATACTGAAATATGAGTGAAGGAAGAAACTACCCTAAGTAACTTTGAAAAACGGTCTTTTGAATATATATAGCTAAAGACACAAAAATGTTCACAAATATTATACCTCTGTTAGCAGATTCATTTTTCCAGGGGTATGGGTTAGCAATTCTGAAACTACGTTCTTGGATTGAACAATAAGTAAACATGTTGTGGATAGTAACAGCCAAGTTTCTCATTGTCAGACAGGAATTATAAAGAAAAGGGGGTGGTGGTGTTGGACTGGAACTGGAGGTATCATTATGAATGCATGGGTTTTCATGTACATATGTATGTGTGTACACAAATAGATACAAAAATTGATCAGTATGTGTGTATGTGTCAATAAATGCATATGTTTCCTAGTTCTGTCTGCTGAGAGGCCCTAGAAGCAAGGAAACCCAAGTACAAAGGAGCACAAAACCTACTACCCACAAGTTGTTTTTGTCTACCATCCCCAAAGGAACCAGGACTCTGGGAGAAGTGGCTGATTCCATTTGGGTTGGAGTCAGAGAAATACAAGTTAAGCCTAGCACACTTTAAATTTCCCAAAAGTAAGTGCTCAAAAAATGCTGGAGACATGCCAAAGAGATAGTCTCCCAGTGGCCAAATATGGAGAGTTCAAGCAACAAAATAAATGATAGTTATGGATCATTACCCAGAAAGTAATATTAATATCCAAGAGTATTTTGTGATCTAAATAACAATAACAGATGAGGGGAAGGAAAGTTATTAAAGTGCAATTTCATCAGATAATAGAAAAACTACCCACCAAAAAATCACCATTTGTCAAGCATCACAGTAATAACTATTTTAGACCAAAAAAGCATCAATGGATGCTAAAATTAGTAGGCAAAAAGTATGATGAGAAACAGGATATTCATGTAGTTTCAAAGTATCTTCCACCACGACACCTTCAATTACTAACAGAAAAAAGTACCTTTACAGTGGAGAGATCTGGCAGATAACACCTTAATTATATGATAAAAATTAGGATTACCAAGGCAAGTCTCCATCATGTGCCTCCAGATATGATGTAGAAGAACACAACGTCATTCTGTTGTATTCTTACTAAAAATACACAGCTGAAATTTAACCATGAAGAAATCAGGAAAATTCAAAATCAGGGATATTCTAGTGAAGTGTCAAGGTAAAGAAAGGCAAAACAAGATTTAGAAAATGTTCCAGACTAAAGGAGACTGTTAACATTTAGGGAATCTGGGTAAATGGTATGTGGGAATTATATACTAAATTCTGTGAGTCTGAATTTATTTCAAAATTTAAAAAAATTGATGTGCATGTGTACAAGTATGAGTGTGTACATATGCACAGAAAAAGTCTTAACAGGTAGAGTAATAATAAAAGTGTTCATAGTGATTATCTCTGAAAATCTCGTTTGTACTTTCTGATTTTTCTCTGATGAACTGATAATTGTACTGTTACACAAAAATGTTAGCATTTGGAGAGTCTGCGAGAAGGGTATGTAGGAATTCTTTGTACTAATTTTGCAACTTTTTAGAAGTGAAATTATTTTAAAACGACAAGTTAAAAATAAACGAAACAGGAGCGCCTGGGTGGCGCAGTCGGTTAAGCGTCCCAGCCAGGTCACGATCTCGCGGTCTGTGAGTTTGAGCCCCGCGTCAGGCTCTGGGCTGATGGCTCGGAGCCTGGAGCCTGTTTCCGATTCTGTGTCTCCCTCTCTCTCTGCCCCTCCCCCGTTCATGCTCTGTCTCTCTCTGTCCCAAAAATAAATAAAAAACGTTGAAAAAAAAAATAAACGAAACAAACAGGATGGGCCATATTATCGTAAGAATGTCACTAGCACCATAATGGCTACAATTTTAGTCTGGTTCACAGGTGATGACCCTCTAGTGTGCATGGCAGATAACTGCTAATCAACTAGAGATACAACTTTAGTCATTCTCAGCTTGCCCAACCAAATGACTGACAGGTGGTGTTACTAGAGAGGAAACCTATCTGCCATTCCCGGCGTGGAGTGTGTTCTGTAATGGGGCAAGAGGGAGGGAAGGAGGAGGCCCAGTGAAGAGCATAGGAAATATCTTAGGGACGGTCCCCGAATGCCATTCTGAGGAGTTTAGGTGTAATCTCATAGGAAAAAAGGAATGATCCAAGAGTTTTGAAGACAGGAGAGTGACGTGTAAAAATAACATTTAATGAGCGCCGACCATGTGCCAGCTCCATATATTGGTTCAATTAGTTTCCACAGTTCTAATTAATGGGTAGTATTATTATTATCTCCATTTTACTGATAAAAAAACAAAAAAACAAAAAACTAAGACAAAGAGGAGTAACTTGTCCTAGTCACACAGCTAGTAAGTGGCAAGCAGGGATGTGAACCCAGGAACTCTAAATCTGGAGCCAGCACTCTGAACCCCTGTACTCCATCCTCAGCTAGAAGGTTTGCACAAAATCTTCTAAAATACTTTGAGGAGAACCAGAGTGCAGGGGAATGGAGGCATGGAGGCCAACTTGAAGGCTCACAGTAGTTTGGGAGGAAGATGGTATGGGGATAAATACTTAACCATATTGGAATTTCAGTTTTGCAGGAATTTGCCACATTAAGGCAAATAATTCCCTTTAAAAATAGAATTTCCTTTTTAGAATTTAAGTGACATGATGGGAAATTTGAAGAAGAGTACCTGTAATGGTGCTCATGGAGCTTACAGTTCTTTATACATGTCACTTTCCCTACTGAGGAAACGGGCAATCTTAGTGAATTTCAGGGAGGTGAAGCAGTCAGAAAATGTTTTTGTGTCGTTATCTGTGAAAAAGTAAGCACATAACGTGTGACCAAAAAAAGGAGAGGGAAAACACTTTCGTATAATCAAAGGACAAATTTCTGTTTTCACTTTATGGCCAAGCTAGGAATACAGAAGAGAAAACTGTCAACTGCTAGGAATGTAACAGGTATTCAGTAAACACTTATAGGGGCACCTAGGTGGCTCAGTGGGTTGAGCTCCGACTTCAGCTCAGGTCGTGATCTCGCAGTCTGTGAGTTCAAGCCCCGCATTGGGCTCTGTGCTGACAGCTCAGAACTCGGAGCTTGCTTCGGATCTTGTGTTTCCCTCTCTCTCGGCCCCTCCCATGCTCATGCTCTGTCTCTCTGTCTCTCTCTCTCTCTCTCTCAAAAATAAAATAAACAGGGGCGCCTGGGTGGCGCAGTCGGTTAAGCGTCCGACTTCAGCCAGGTCACGATCTCGCGGTCCGGGAGTTCGAGCCCCGCGTCAGGCTCTGGGCTGATGGCTCAGAGCCTGGAGCCTGTTTCCGATTCTGTGTCTCCCTCTCTCTCTGCCCCTCCCCCGTTCATGCTCTGTCTCTCTCTGTCCCAAAAATAAATAAACGTTGAAAAAAAAAATAAAAAATAAATAAAAAATAAAAAATAAAAAATAAAATAAACATTAAAAATTTTTAAAGAGGGGTGCCTGGATGGCTCAGTTGGTTAAGCGTCCAACTTCAGCTCAGGTCATGATCTCAAGGTCAGTAGATTTAAGCCCCATGTTGGGCTCTGTACTGACAGCCTGGAGCCTGCTTCAGACTCTGTGTCTCCCTCTCTCTGTGCCCCTCCCCCGTTCAAGTTCTGTCTCTCAAAAATAAATAAATGTTAAAATTTTTTTTAAATTTTTTAAAGAAAAAAATAAACACTCATAGCATCAAACTGAATAATAAATGGAGTTTACAACCCAATTTTACTATTCTAAAAATCTTTTATACAGCATAAAAGATAGCAACTTTTACAAATATTCTTTCTCCCTTCAATTTTCTAATTCTAAGAAACTCATATTTCCAGTAAAAGAAGCTTGAATAAAACATTAATGTAAACATGTTAAATTGGGACTGGTATTTCAGATACTTCAGTTTTCTAATAAATCCTATTTATCTTCAGCTCAATAGATATAATAAGGTTTAACACAACAGCACTCCATAAAGCTTATTATCCACCTAGTAAAATGTTGGTAATACAAATGTTATTAGCTGGGACTCCACTATGAAAAAATTTATGATGTTTGTTGGGATGAAATTTGTATTTGTACTACAATGAGTAAAGGGTTTCCCAGCCAAATTTGAAAACTAAAATGAGGACACTTATTTTAGAAAAGAAATTATATGACTTTAGCAAAGTATTTGTACTCACAGATAAGTATCTTGTAAGAAATCATAATTTATTCTTTTAAACAAGTGACCCAAATCTCTACTTGAATATACTTTGTTACTCAATGAGCAATTTTTTAACTCTTTTGTACGGACAGCCTATATAAGTCAGTCTTTGCACCATCTCAGACTGGTTTCACCTCTGCCCTATCAAAAAGTAAGGATGAACTAAATTCAGGATATTGGGGTGAGCTTGGGCAAGGAGACTGCAAAAGGAGACAGATGATGAGAATTCCTGACTGAGACACGGTCGGGTCGGTCGCGTCTCAACGCTTTCCCTTTACCTTCCTCAGATACGGAGACCCCGGCACCTCCTCCGTGTCGCTGACGCTGCTTTCCGACACTTCACTCCTGTCTCCATTCGCTCTTTTCATTATGGGGCTGCCACAGTTTTCCAGTGCAGAGACATCTGTGAGAATCTCCTTCGGATAAAGCCTTTTAGGTGCTACTTTTCTCAGGATACATTCTGGGGCCTTGCTGGTTACATTTTTACCAGCCTCTGAATTTGAACTCAGCGGCTCTGACCTGAGGTATTAAGAGATTAAATGAACGAACTGTTTGCCTGGAAATATATATTTTCATATAACTGATGAAGCAATATGGGATGACAGTGATAACACTAGTTTAGAGAATATATTGAAACAACACTGAACTAGTTGTTGAAAGTTAAAATTTACATATATGATTATTTAGAAATTCTCCCTACAGATTCAGATTCTTCAGTAAAGCAACCCAGTGTGCATGAGACAAACCTGTGATGTAGTAACAGGACCAAAAGTTAGAAAAAAAGTCAAATACTAAACATCTGTATGATAATATTTTATACAGTCAATAAAAATCATGTTTCCAGGGCCACCTGGCCAACTCAGTCTGTAGAGCATGTGACTCTTGATCTCACGGTTGTGAGTTCAGGCCCCATGTTGTATGCAGAAATTACTTAGAAATAAAATCTTAAAGAAAAACCATGTTTCCGAATCATAATCAGTGATACTGGAACATATTCACAATATATTCTGTGGGGGAAAAACAAGATACAAAACTACATATGCTATATGATCCTGATCTTATTTTAAAACGCAAGTATATGCAAAATAAGAGAAAAAAAAGGTGAGGCAAATGTTAGCAGTGGCTATCTCTAGGTAGTGCAATTTTGATTATCTTCTTTCTACTTTTCTGTATTTTCCAAATTTCCCATAGTACCTTTAAGCTACTTTTACAGTGAAGAACCCTGCACCAAAAAAAAAAAAAAAAAAAAAAAAAAAAAAAAAAGTTACTAAGAGACAAAAAAAAGGAAAGAAAAACAATGGCTGTCTCCTTGTCTGAGAAAGAGAGTTCTAGGCAGTGAATAAAAACTGTCCGGTGAAGCTTAACACCATATCCCTCCTAAAAAATGACTACCAAAAATGGAAATGAGTTTTGGGTAGTAACAAAGATAAACCAAAACTATTAAATTCTGATCAGAACAGAAAAAGCAACTTTCCAACACATGACTGAGGATATCTCAATGCTAGTTAGGTCCTACCATAGCTCTTCCTGATTCAGTCAATCTGATCTAATGTTTTGTTCCTCGACTGTTTCCTAAATGAATGCCGATGAATTATTTCAGAATAAGATTGCAATGGCTTTTTCCCAAACAATAAAGACGTTGAAACATTGGCCTTACCTTTTTTGTTTTTGGGAAAGACACAGTGACTGCGGAGAAGATGCTCTACTTGGCTCATCAGCTAATGTAGCCAAAATAAAGTTAGCTTCCAATAACATATCATCAATACTTAAAGCCATAGGTCTAAAAAAAGGCAAAGTCAGAGCAAACATCATACACATTTTCTGATGGACACTGGGAAAACATTAAAAAATGACATTTAATTCAAGAGTAAAAGGAGATCATAGAAGTAGAAGTCCTTTTTGTCTTTTCACAAAGTTAACGCAGTCCTAAGGGCTGAACGGACCTTAGACATCATCAGATCTAATTTCATAAAACATATCTATCCTAACCTAATCTCACTTGAAATTTTAGTTCTGAAATACCATAGAAAATATCATAGCTTCATAGAGATTAGACTTATTTAAGCCATGTATAATTTTCTGCTTAGGCAATTTATTTGGCACGATGTCAAATTTATAAGTGTTTTCACTCTGCAGAATATATCTTTCTCAATTACCAATTAAAAAATGCCCTGTTATGGCATCCTTCAAAATTCTAGTTTGATAAGTGTTGCTGATAAAGTAAGCAATTCCTGAGGTGTGAATTAACTGCAAAGCGATCCAAAGGGTTTTATTATTGATATATAACAACAATTAAAAAAAAAAAAAAAAACTCAGAAAACTTCCCAAGGACTTACTTCCCAGGAAAATCAAAATGAATGGCTATAGGAGCATGTGTAGCTTCTGAAAACGTCAGTATTCCCTGAAAGAAAATAAGAAGAAAAATAGTTGAAATCTTTATTTAAAAATTACCAGTGAAATTTTGACACAAATTTTTGTTTACCTTCAATTCTTTGAAGCAAAATGTTATTTCACTATCAACTCCAATTTGAAAGAAGTCAAACTCATCTGGGCCAACAAACATCTCACTGTACACAGAACTGGTCAAATCTGTTTGATATTATAGGAAAATAAAGAATAAAATTAGTTCCAGAGGTACTTGTGAAGTTTTTTAAAAAAAATTTTTTTTTTTTTTGAGAGAGAGAGAGAGAGCACATGTGTGAGCATGGAGACACAGAGAGATGGAGAGAGAGAATCCCAAGCTGGTTCCACACTGTCAGCACAGAGCCCAATGTGGGGCTCGATCTCACAAACTGTGAGATCATGACCTGAGCTGAAATCAAGAGTCGGATGCTTAACCCACTGAGCGACCCAGGCACCCCATTTGTTAAATTTTAATATGAAAATACAACTGTAAGTGGTAGATTAAAAATAGCCACAGTCCTTTGACATCCCTTCATTGAGAGATGGGGTCTATGTCTATGTCCCCCTCTCCTGAATTTGGGTAGGAGGGCTCTCTGACTACTGCGACCAATAGGATATGGCGCTATAGGTGAAATGACCTGGTGCTGGTTTCTGAAGAGACTGGCAACTTCTACTTCCTCTATTCTCTATCCCCTTCCTCTATCCTATAACACTCACTCTTGGAACTCAGCCACCATGCTGAGTTCATGCTATATGAAGTCCAAGTTAATGGAGAGGCCATATCTATGCAGTCACTCTGGTTAACGGCCCAACTGTGTTCCCAAGATCAACTACCAGACATCTTGGATGTCTTCAGATGATTCCAGACCCAGCCGCTATCTAACTACAATTGCATGAAAGACCCCCAAGTGAGAACTGTCTAGCTGAGCCTCGTAAACCCACAGAAACATAAGTGACAAGAATAAATTATTTTTTTTTAATTTTTTTTTCAACGTTTTTATTTATTTTTGGGATAGAGAGAGACAGAGCATGAACGGGGGAGGGGCAGAGAGAGAGGGAGACACAGAATCGGAAACAGGCTCCAGGCTCTGAGCCATCAGCCCAGACCCTGACGCGGGGCTCGAACTCACGGACCACGAGATCGTGATCTGGCTGAAGTCGGACGCTTAACCGACTGCGCCACCCAGGCGCCCCTAAATTATTTTGTTTTTCACTGCAAAAATGTTTGATATAAATGCTCAGAAATATATACACACACACGAGTACCTTTTCTTCCATTTTCTTTTTACACCTTACTTGAAGTGTAATTAACATACACTGTTATATTAGTTTCACATATATAATAATTCAACAATTCTATACATTCCTCAGTATTCATCAATATAAGTGTATTCTTAATCCCCTTCATCTATATCAACCATCCCCCTACTTACCTTCCCTCTGCCAACCACTGGTTTGTTCTCTATACTTACGAGAATGGGCAAGGGGCGCCTGGGTGGCTCAGTTGGTTAATTGTCCAACTTCAGTTCAGGTCATGATCTCACAGTTTGTGGGTTCAAGCCCCACATTGGGCTCTGTGCTGACAGCTCAGAGCTCAGAGCCTGGAGCCTGCTTGGGATTCTGTGTTTCATTCTCTCTCTGCCCCTCCCCCACTCATGCTCTGTCTCTGTCTCTCAAAAATAAACGTAAAAAAAAAAAATTTTTTTTTTTAAAAAGAGAGAGAATGCTGGGGCACCTGGGTGGCTCAGTCAGTTAAGTCTTTGGCTCAGGTCATGATATCACAGCTCATGAGTTCAAGCCCCACATTGGGCTCTGCCTGGAGCCTGCTTCAGATTCTGTGTCTCCCTCTCTGCTCACCCCTGCTCGTGCTCTGTCTCTCTCTCTCCTTCAAAAATAAATAAACATTAAAAAAAATAAAAGAGAATGCTTTTTGTTTGTTTCTCTTCTTTGTTCGTTCATTTGTTTCTTAAATTCCACATGAGTGAAATCATATAGTATTTGTCCTTCTCTGATTGATTTATTGCATTTAGCATTATATCCTTTAGGTACACCCACGTTGTTTTAAATGGAAAAATTTCATTCTTTTTTATGGCTGAGTAATATTACATTATATACATACCACATCTTCTTTATCCATTCGTCTATGGATGGACTTGGGTTGCTTCCGAATCTTGGCTGTTCTAAATAATGCTACAGTGAACACAGGGGTGCATTATCTTTCCAAGTCAGTGTTTACATTTCCTTTGGGTAAATACCCAATAGTGGAATTATTGGATCATATTGTATTTGGGTTTTTTTTTTTTAAGTTTATTTAAGAGAGAGAGACAGCAAGCACAAGCAGCGAAGGTGCAGAGAGAGAGGTAGAGAGAAGATCCCAAGCACAAAGCCCGAGACAGGGCTCAATCTCACAAACCATGAGACCATGACCTGAGCTGAAATCAAGGGTCGGACGCTTAACCAACTGAGCCACCCACATGCCCCTAGTATTTCAATTTTTAATTTTTTCAGGAAACTCTATACTATTTTACACAGAGGCTGCACCAATTTATATTCCCACCATCAGTGCACAAGAGTTCTTTTTTCTCAACATCCTCGCCAACACTTATTTCTATGTTTTTTATTTTAGCCATTCTGACAGCTTTAAGATGATTATCTCATTGTGTGTTGTGTTTTTTTTTCTTTAAAGGAAGACAGACTACCACATGCAGCACCTCATTTGTATGCGTCTCAAGTCTTGGAAGCTTGACTACCCAAGTTCTCCTGCAAAAGGACCGTGAGAGCTTGTTTGAAGGTTGTAGCAGGGGAGAGCAGCTACTTGTATACCGTTGACCAAAGAACAGTCCTCTATCAGGGAAGGTCATCCTCTTCAACTGAGCACACAGCTTCTGGAGGGACACACATCAAGCGGTAAGGGAGGAAGGGGACACCTGCCTAGCCAGACAGATTAGCCAAATCAACCCTGGCAATGGATGGGGTGACAGATGTTGCAGCCAGGTCACCCTCACATCCTCATTGTGGTTTTGATTTGCATTTCCCTGCTGATGAGCGATGTTGAGCATCTTTTCATATGTCTGTGGCCATCTGTATGCCTTCTTTGCAAAAATGGGTATTTAGGTCCTCTGCCCTTTTTTTATTGAATTACTTTTAATAGCTTCACAGTATTTCATTACTTTCACTCAACCAATCTTCTGTCGTTAAATCTAAAGTATACAAGGAGATGTCCCAAACTATTAAAACTGCTTACTTCTGGATAGTGGGATTTCAGGTGACTTTTTTTTTTTTTAGTGTTTGTGTTTTTTATTTTCTTCAATGGACATGAATTATGTAAGAACAAAGGATAAACAGTATATACTTTTTAAAAGGATCAAACACTACCCTAAAAATACATTATTATCAAACAAGAAGGCTCATGTCACTCCCAGTGTACTAGTACAGAGTAAGTTTAATAATAAACAGATGGGGCCTGGGAGTTAAGCATCCAACTTTGGCTCAGGTCATGATCTCACAGTTCATGGGTTCGAGCCCCGCATCAGGCTCTGTGCTGACAACTCGGAGCCTGGAGCCTGCTTCAGATTCTGTGTCTCCCACTCTCTCTGTCCCTCCCCCACTTGCACTCTGTCTCTGTCTCTCAAAAATGAATGAATGTTTAAAAAAACTTAAAAAACAAAATGAATAATTGGGTCTCCAATTGCTACTTGTGCCCATAAGTCCCCAGTCAACCATAACTATAACTACTCATTAGAAAGCTTCTCACAAGGGACAGTGTCTCCTGGTGAGACACAATGGCCATCTTTATTCAGAGATGGCACTACGGAATATAAAACAGACCCTTTTACTAGAATAAGCATATATTTTCCAAATCATGCACTTCTGGGTGTCAAAAAACAATGCTAGATAAGACTTCAGAGAAACAATAATAACACAGTGGTATTGGGCCTGTGCCTTGAAGCCTACATTCAGATAATATTCCAGCACTACTAACTGTGTGACACCAGGCAAGTCACTTAGTTTCTCTGTGCTTCATATTCTTCACATGGAAAAATGGGCATAATAGTACCCACATCACAGAGTTGTTACAAACATTACATGAATTCACAACTGGAAACCGTTTAGAAAAGAACATGGCACCAACTAAATACCACAAAAGTCATCTGATCCAATTTTAGCCCTGGTTCTACTGGTTTTTCACTTCAAATAATACAATTCCCTCCCTTCATATTCTTTACTGCTATCTCTCTCTCTCTCTCTCTCTCTCTCTCTCTCTCTCTCTCTCTCACACACACACACACACACACACACACACACACAATTACCCAAAATTAAAGAGTCTCAAACAGCTTGTGTCTGAAAGACCCTAGTCAATTTTCTTGGTAGCAAAACTCCCAATTTAATCATGCCTTAGTTTCTCCATTAAATCCAGGTAACTCTTGGAAGAGCTGACTTAAGATGTAGTCACATTTTCTGCCGTGTGTATTTGCCATCTGGAATATCTTACATCTCTAATTTGGAGCTACTTTTTCTTCTTAGGTGATCAAAGATAATCTCAATTGGATTGCTCCCTCTTAATTTTTTTTTTTTTTTTTGTGCCAAACACAAAGGGTGATAAAAGATGAAAAACAGGGGCACCTGGTTGGCTTTTTGGAAAAGCATGCAACTCTTGATCTTGGGGTTGTGAGTTTGAGCCCCACAGTGGATGTAGAAATTACTAAAAACAAAAAAAAAACTTTAAAAAAAAGATGAAAAACAGATCTTAAAATCTTAACTGAAGATACACTTTTCTCAGTAACCATTCTCCTAATTGTATATTTTTAAATCTTTTTTAATGTTTATTTTTGAGAGAGAGAGAGTGAACATGCATGCCCATGCTCTTGTGGGGGAGGGGCAGAGAGAGAGGGAGACACAGAATCCAAACCAGGCTCCAGGCTCTGAGCTGGCAGCACAGAGCCTGATGCAAGGGTCTAACTAATGAACCATGAGATCATGACCTGAGCTGAAGTCGAATGCTTAACCAACTAAGCCACCCAGGCACCCCACCATTCTCCTAATTTTAAAACACCTGAATTTCCAAAAACAAACTCAACATGGATGAAAGACCTAAATGTAAGACAGGAAACAATCAAAATCCTAGAGGAGAAAGCAGGCAAAAACCTCTTTGACCTTGGCCACAGCAACTTCTTACTCAACAGGTCTCCAGAAGCAAGGGAAACCAAAGCAAAAATGAAATATTGGGACTTCATCAAAATAAAAAGCTTCTGCACAGCGAAGGAAACAATCAGCACAACCAAAAGTCAACCGACAGAATGGAAGAAGATATTTGCAAATGACATATCAGATAAAGGGTTAGTATGCAAAATCTATAAAGAACTTATAAAACTCAACACCCAAAAAAAACAAATAATAAGTGAAGAAATGTGCAAAAGACATGAATAGACACTTCTCCAAAGAAGACATCCAGATGGCCAACTGACACATGAAAAAATGCTCAACATCACTCATCATCAGGGAAATACAAATCAAAATCACAATGAGATACCACCTCACAGCTGTCAGAATGGCTAACATTAACAACTCAGGCAACGACAGATGTTGGCGAGTATGGAGAAAAAGGATCTCTTTTGCACTGCTGGTGGGAATGCAAACTGGTGCAGCCACTCTGGAAAACAATATGGAGGTTCCTCAAAAAATTAAAAATAGAACTACCCTACGACCCAGCAATTGCACTACTAGGTATTTATCCAAGGGATACAGTTGTGCTGTTTCGAAGGGGCACATGCACCCCGATGTTTACAGTAGCGCTATCAACAATAGCCAAAGTATGGAAAGAGCCCAAATGTCCATCTATGGATGAATGTATAAAGAAGATGTGGCATATATATACAATGGGGTATTACTCGGCAATCAAAAAGAATCTTGTCATTTGAAACTGTGTGGATGGAACTAGAAGGTACTATGCTAAGCGAAATTAGAGAAAGACAAATATCATATTATTTCACTCACATGAAGAATTTAAGATACAAAACAGATGAACATAAGAGAAGGGAAGCAAAAATAATATAAAAACAAGGAGGGGAACAAAACATAAAAGACTCTTAAATATAGAAAACAAACAGAGAGTTGCCAGAGGGGGTGTGAGAGGGGGGATAAGCTAAATGGGTTAAGAGGCATTAAGGAATCTACTCCTGAAATCACTGTTGCACTATATGCTAGCTTGGATATAAATTTAAAAATCAATCAATTAATTAATATAAAAATAAAACAACCTGAATCTCAAAGCCAAATATTTTAATTATTGGTTATGTTCCATTTCCTGGATCTCTCAAAAATTTTAATGATCTTTCTACATCTTACTGCTTTTTAGACAAGAATAAATGTCATGCCACTAATGTTTACTGTGGTCAGTAATCAAGAAAATCAGGAAGTGACATTCCATGCAAGTGCCCTGACAGATGTAGTCCTTACCCACTGGTTCGTCACTGGAACTCTTAAGGCAAACACTGAGTGGGGTAACAGCAAGAGTAACTTCTTCTTGACTTGATGTGAAAAGAACAATTGCCTCAGCAAGCACTCTACAAAATGTAAAGAAAAGTACTACGTTATTTGAAAAACAAGCAGAAAAAAAAGTCTTATTAAATAAGACTCAAATCTTTAATCTGGAAATAAACAGGTTAGTCAGGATAGATTTTTAAAAACTTACCAAAAAAAAAAAAAAAACGTATTTTCTTTTTTCTATGTGAGCTGCAATATTTTTAGTGTATTTTAAAACGGCAACTTCATTTGACAGGCCAAGAAAATAGTAAAATATATTCTTAGTAAGACATGTGAAAGCTGCAAGATAAACCAGACACTGGAAGAAAATGTTTTTAATTCTATGTTTTTAAATGATCAATATATATTTTTAATGGCCTGCAGTCGTACGCCTAAGGGAGATATAAGAAAACAGAGCTGTTCAAATAGAACCTGCTGGAGACCCAGGTGAGGGTAGAGGTTTACAAACAGCCTGCTGCCTATATTCTCTTTCCCGTTGTTATTTGTCCTACATTATACCTATACTTTCAAGGTTGTCTTGACATCCCAAATGCTCTTTTATCCTGGGGCTCCCTTTTTAAAAACAGCTTTATTGATACAGAATTCACATACTGTACAATTCACAGATTTAAAGTTTTAATTTGTATTTCCCTAACTACTAATGATGGTGAGCACCTTTTCATGTGCTTTTCAGCCATTTGTATATCTTCTTTGGCAAAATATCTATTCAAATCCTTTGCCAGCTCTTAATTATGTTATCTTTTTATTATTGCATTACAACTTCTGGGATACTTTTTAAATTGAGGTGTTGTTAGATAAAAAATGAGATTCTTAGAATTTATGTGATGTTGATGTTAACCTGATGCTAGACATTAGCTCAGCAGTGTTTCTTGACGCCAAAATGTCAGGAACACCTGCCAAATTCATCTAGCAACTTTTCCAGTGTTGGGGGGAGGTGTTTTATAAGATACCAAATAACCTGACGTTAAAAAATGACAACAGGGGCGCCTGGATGGCTCAGCCGGTTGCGTCCATCTTCGGCTCAGGTCATGATGTCATGGTTCGTGGGTTGAGCTGTGCTGACAGCTCAGAGCCTGGAGCCTGCTTCAGATTCTGTGTCTCTGTCTCTCTCTGCCCCTCCCCCCCTTCAAAAGTAAATAAACATTAAAAAAAAATTTTAAAGACTCAGAAGGCAATATATAAATGCAAAGTATTATTAGGTAATATATTTCTGTCTTGGTATCACTTAATATAAAAATCCAGTAATAGGATATTTTTAGAACTTTCTTGCCACTAAATCATCATTGCTACCATTAAACAGTTATATCATCTACTATTATCTTTTTCATGGTTTCCTCTTCACTTTGTAAGGTGATTTCTACAAGTTAAATATTAGCTTTTTTAAAAAATATAACTGATTACAAAGCTTAATTCTTTACTATGTGCCCATATTCAGAAAAAGAAAAATAAATACCAGAGAATCCATTACCTTGGTTGAATCACTAGTGTATTAGAACACATATTCTTTTCAAAAATAACTTGCAAGGGCTGACTTTCTTGAAAACATACATTATGAGTTCTTCTAATACCTTAAAAAGAATAAATAAACCTTTTAATAATTTTAAGTGCAAAACAAACTATTTAAAAAGTCTAAGTGTAGCAGCCAAACAAAATTAAAGTAACATTTACTATCTATCAAGCAGGTGCATACATAGCTTGAAGGAACACTATTCCTCCATAAATGTGTTTATCGCCCCCTAGTGGACATTATGCAACATGCCGGGTCCTTGGACAGTATCAGTAGAGCTCCCAAGTTCTTTTGAAATACAGGTTAATTCTTAAATTGTGTGTAAGATAGTGATTGCCCATTACAGTTCACGTACTTACAATTCCCTTTCACTACCTTTTATCCACATCTATTATTTCCAGATTTCTGGGACTCTCGGAAGTCAGACATGAACATCTGGTCTGTGAATTCTTTTCTTCCAAGAGGAGGAAGAGAGGAAGAGTGTATAGCTGTAACGGCTATGACCCCAGGTGCCAGGAACTGTAGTACACATTTTACATACATGACCTCTGATCTTCACAATATTCCTATGGTGTAAGCACTTACTCTCAGAAGAGGAAACTGTAGCTGAGAGAGACTGACTTTCCAAGGCTATGCTATTTTAACATGTATAGTCAAAATTTGAACCTAAGTTTGAATACAGAGCCAATGTAATAAAATCCAAGTGGGCTGTAACTTTCTACAGCATAATAATGTTGCAGTGAGAATCAAAAGGGCTCACTAGAAACAATGTTTCTCAACTAACTGGGATTTTTTGGTACCAAATTAATAACAGCAACATTTATCAATTTCTTAAGTATTTACTGACCACCTACTACGTACAAAGCTGCATTAGTTAGTTTTTTATGGATAACAAACCAAAATAACAAACATTTGTTGTTTCTCACAATTCGACTGAGTCCTTCTGGTTTAGGCTGGCTTAGCTGTGGCTGGACGTTTTGGATGGCTTCACTTTCAGGTCTAGGGCCTCAGTAGACAACAGGCATGGCGGGGGCCTGCGGGGCCAGCGGAGGCCTCTCACCACATGGTCCCTCATCCTCCATAAGTCTATACTGTGCTGCATTTATTCTCATGCTGAGGAAAAGTTCCTACTTTAACAGGGGAAACTGCCAGGCCTCTTAAGGCCTAGGCTTGGAACTCACAGAATATCACTTCTATTGCATCTAATTGATAAAGCCCAAGGCAAGCCATGATTCCAGCTGGGGAATCAGACTCCAGCTTTTGAAGAGGGGGGTGTTGCAAATAATTTGTGAGATCTTTTTTTTTTAGTAATCTACTACACATGAACAATTTTAGGAGCTGGGGATTAGCAAAGAACAAATCAGACAAAAATCTCTATCGTCATAGTGTTTACATTCTAGGGAGAGGAGACAGACAATAAGAAAATAAATAAGTAAATAATATGTCACAGGGTGATAAAGACCACAGAAAAGCAAAGCAGGAAAGACAGTAGGGAGTCCCAGTGGTGGTAGGTAGCAATTGCAAATAGAGAGGTCACGAAAGACCTCATGGAAATGACACCATCTGAGTGAAGACTTGGAAGAAGTGAAACGGCAAGTTACATGCTACCTGGGAGAAGGAGCTTACTGGGCGGAGGGCTTCCAACCCATGTAGGACCTCACTGGCCATTGAAAGATCATTGGCTAATACCCTGTGTAAAATGGGAAGGTGGTTTTGGGTTTTTTGTTTTTTTTTTTTTTTTGAGAGAGAGAGTTTTGAGCGCTAGAGTAACATAAGCTGACCTATTTCATCTTTGCTTTCGTCCATAAATTTTAGATGTACTACAAAGAGCATGGCATTGTGAAGGATCACTGTGATTTCTATTTGGGGAAGACACAAATCTAAAAAGTTGGCATAGCTTACCTATTTTAAAAAATATTTTCAAGTTACTTTTGGAGGGACACGTAATAGATAGATGCTGACGGTAGAAAGTTCAAAAGATACCAGAGAGACAGTGAAAAGTAAGTCATCCTCCACTCCTGACTCCTGCCAGCCCTGTATCCTCCACAGAGGCAACTACCGTTACCGGTTTCGCAGGTACTGTTCACAAACAGCCCCGGCACACACAGCACAAGCATACCTCTAAATATTTCCCTCAAGCGAATACTGGCATTGCCAAAGATGTCCAGGCTGAGAAATGTCTAATCTGTCATTCCTGATGCTCCTTTTCTTGCCATCGGCTTCCTTCAGCTTTTACCTTATGAACAGGTGCTAAACACTTTCAACCTGTGCCTTTGATCACACTGCTCCCTCATCACAGAATGCCTTCCCATTTCTGCCTGCTGGAAACTTACCCAGATGTGATGCCACTAACCAGAAAGCCTTTCCTCTTCAGCTTTCTCTCCTTCGAGTCTCTGGCTCAAAGAACATCCACTGTCCCTTGTTCGAGTAATTTGGCTTGATGTACCTCTTCGCTGTGGTTTTTCTAGTTTCTAGTTTAATAACAATAACAATCTCCCTGGTAGCATGCAAATGGCATAAACATTTAGAAGTCCTGTTTCCCCCCTGGGTCATTTATAGGCTTTATCTTATGCTGCACAAAGCACTGGACTGTAATGAGACAAGGGATTTTTCATCAGAATTGACTTCTGGGCCACCTGGGTGGCTCAGTGGGTTAAGCGTCAGACTCTGGATTTCGGTTCAGGTCATGACCACATGGTTCGTGAATTTGAGCCCTGCATTGGGCTGACGGTGCAAAGCCTGCTTGGGATTCTCTCTCTCTCCCTCTCTCTGCCCCTCCCCGACTTGTGCTCTCTCTCACTATAAGTAAACCTTAAAAAAAAAAAAAAAGAGGAACTGACTGCCTTCTTTGATAAAATAGTACTATTAACAACAACAACAGCTGAATTAATGCAAATGCTTAGTAATGTATTTGGCCTAAATTCTGGCATAAGCTCGCTATCTTCTCACAGAACAGTAACAACAATTTAGGGCCCAGGAGCCAGTCGACAGACCATGCTGAGTAGTGGGTGTCTCATACCATCTGCTCCTGCCATGGGATTCCTGGCCCTATGAAAGAATTCTACCTGCCACTTCATAAGCTCTATTTCAAACTTCCCTCAATGGGTCCAGAGAACTCTTTCAAACCTGAAAGGGTACAGCTAAGGACGAACCATTAGTTTGGAGATGTTACATTTGTAGAGTTTAGAATTTTAGGGGCTAGTGATACTTCAAAAATCTTGTAAGTTATTCAAATATTCCTCAATCCCTGTAAGTTCACCATTGAGTTTAAAATCATTAGCACATCTGTAGAATGCCCAAAACTTGAAAACTTGAAGGAGTCCAACCTTCTTGACATCACTTCATTAATATATGCGTATGATTCAAAGTCTCATTTTCATTCAGTATCCCAGTGCACTCCTCTTATGGAAGAAGCTCCCCTCTGTTGGAGTCCTGTCCCCTTGAGCCAGGACAGAACATATTAGCAGGTGGTTCATATCCGAGTGTGTTCTTCAGGAACTCATGGACTCATTTTTAGAAACTCTAGGGCCAGTGCAAAAGAAAAGTATGGAGAATTGGTAGAATTATTAATGACATAAATATTTCAGCTAAATCTTGCTTCTCAGTGGTATAAATCCTTTTTTATCTATTTGCAGATGCTAAATAATTCAAGAAATCACTGTTACAGAAACTTTTCATGGTTAGATTTAGAGAAGTCAGTCCTTTTTAGTAGCTCGGTTTTTTTTCAAGTGTTTTCTATCAGTGAAGAGAGACAGATTTACATCACTATCCTTAATTTCTTACCAAATCCCAAATATGTATTTCTAGCAGCTTATTGGCTATCCCTGCCCCGGTGGTTTTTCTCAACTAAATTTGAACGTTTCTCCACCAGATTATAAATACAAAGTTGCAAGCTTTATTTTCTGGGTACACACAGTTTGGGGAAGTATAACTACTTACCTAATTAAGTAGCAGCATCTATCTCCTGTTCCCCTTCTTTCCTGAGCTGTCCCTTCCCCATTTTGCAGCTGCCATGAGGTTTGGGTGGGATTGACTCTACTTCCAGCATCACTGATGGGCCCTCATTGGTAGAAATTAATTGGTATAATTTTATCCCCCCCCCACAATTAAATTTGGACCAGGTATGATGCTTAAAGAGTGAATTTCCTGGCCACGAAGATTAGTTTAGGTTGGTCCAATCAGAGCAAAGGCAAGAACTTTTGTTTAATGGATACATGAGGTAAGGCTCTCGCTCCCACTGGATGTGAAAGAGGAAGCATCTAGCCTCAGCTGCTGCTGCAAGCCACCTTATTATTGAAAGTTTATCAGAGAAACTAGCCTTAGGATAAGTCACGTGGAAGAAAGGAGCGCTGAGTGAATTTTAAAAAGAAAAAGGAGAGGGAGGGGCACCTGGGTGGCTCAGTCAGTTGAGCGTCTGACTTCAGCTCAGGTTGTGATCTCACACTCCATGAGTTCGAGCCTCGTGTCGGGCTCTGTGCTGACAGCTCAGAGCCTGGAACCTGCTTCGGATTCTGTGTCTCCCCCTCTCTCTGCCCCTCCCCTACTCATGCTCTGTCTCCCTCTGTCTCAAAAATAAATAAAAACATTTTTAA